GCCAAGACAGGCTTCCATCGTCTTCACTAGAGGGTCGTTGTGGAGAAGAATCGGGGTTACAACCCCACGCTCCTTTTGGGAGGCTATCCATCTCCGAGTGCGGCCTCAGAACGAAAATTCCCGAGGTCCCTCGCATTACTTTGGCTCAAATACGCAGTGGCTACTCAATGGTCTTCCGCCAATACCAATACCGGGTCGACCCGTCCACACCCGACTGCGGCGTTTCTCCGCATGACTGTCACCATCTCTTCGCCTACAGTTCCCGTCCAGGCTCCGAGCTTACCCTCGCGGACCTTTGGCTCAAGCCGGTCGAGGTACTGGCTTTTCTCCGTCTTCCAACTACTACCAGTTTAGATTACGATAGGGACTCCTGATCCCAAAATGGGCTACGGCATACACACGCCAGCAGTCTTCAGAAAACGCTTGAGTGTTTCTAAATTGACCAGATATTATTGACAGACTATAAGCGAAGAACAGTTAAATCGTTGAAATCTTCCTCCCTTCAAGGCCTGCTTTCGTGAAATGCTAATTGATACTTTTAGGAGAAGATTCAACTGTTGTGCTGTCTTTGTTTATTTCTTTCTGATTCCTTAGGTGTTCAGTACGTCAAGTGCTGCAAGCAAAATGCCACAAGTAGCGAACGATTGGTAATCACGCATAAATCATCATCAAATAGGGTTGTAATACTGATAATCCTGCGGTCTTGTCTCAAGTCTTTCTAGTCACGTCAGGATGCCCGCTCTGCAATGAGCTTTTCTCTGACCGCTTACATAAATGTGATTTTCAAAAATGGCTACATATGTAGTATGCATTTTTGTCATTGATGTTGAATGCCTTTTTAAATTCAAATATACTTCATAGAAAACAGGCACGAAAATAATTTTACTTGTACTCATTTGGTAGCAAATTATACCTTTTTTTAACTATTATGCTTAAAGGAATGGAATCTATCGGTTTTAGAAATATGTTTAGCTATGAGATTTGTTAGGACTGCAAGGTGTTCATTCGTAAAACATTTGTAAATGCTGCCTATAATGTGGACAGCATGATCAACATCCTTTGCCAAATTGTCGGAGACATATGCAACCTCTTCTCTAAAGCGTAGACAATTTTTCTTAAACTTAAAGAGAATGAACACAGCATACTGCTTGGAAACATTGACTTCAGGTGTAGTAGTTTTCGTTTTCGTTTCGAAATCATTCTGCAGAAGATGTGAGTAGTACTTACCACAAAGAACTCGACTGGAAAGAAGAAATAATCATATTCAAAGCATTGATATAGTCCAATTTACAATATGTTCTCAATCTGATTAAATGTGAATCCTAGACCCGCTGGATATAAAGGCAGTTGACAAGTTTGATAGTCGTACCCCAGCCCAAAATCTTTTACGTGAAACATCTGTAAAATCCACAGACGTGCTATCCTAACCTTAAACTCTTACTCAAACAACGAATAAAATTGGCAAGTGATAGTTCCATGAATAACCGAAATATATATAACTGCTCTTGTCGCTATTGAAAACCATATTCACACAAATCCAAGGCGGGACAGGCTCGTCATTTGAACGCTAGCCAATCAATCATGGGGTAGTGAATGGAAATGCTCTTTAAAGTCTTGATCAGCATTGAGCATCAGAGCATAGTCAACTGTTCTGCTATTGGAGACGTGTTCTAACTCAAATTGCTGCCTGACGCTTCGCCTTAAATATGCTAACTGACAGCTGTTTCAAGACACTTGAGAGGGAATCTTTCTGGGCGATAATTTTGCCTAAAGTTCACATATCATCGGGAATAAAGCTAGTCATCGTCATCGAAAATCGTCAGCGAGCATTCAGGGACGCCACACAAGTTAATTATTTGACAGTCTGGATACCTCTTGGCAATAGGACTTTATGAACTAGTCAGCCTGCAATATATCGGCTACGATAATTGGTTAGCTTCTCCAATGCATGAGCAAATTTGATTGCGTCGTTTAACTGTATAAAATCGGATTTATTGGGCTTGATCACAGTCCAGCCATCCACCTAGAAAATTGTCGTAGTGAAATATTAACGCTTGTGTGCTGATTCTGACTGCATCTATAAAAGTCAATATCACATGTTTGAGCAAAATGATGATGGTTCGACCATCGATTTCGAGGGAGTCCACTATGTGCACCAAACTGGTTGATGCAAGGAAGGTGACTGAAGACAGGGGTCAATTTAAGCTATTGCAGACGTTTCAAGCGTCTGCCGCGCCCTCTCCACCTTCACCCAGAGTCAAGAAGACCGACACGGGATCCACCATTGCCCGCTTCCTCCAATGCAAACCAGAGCACCGCGTGATTTAGCATTAAAGTGCAGTAGATTTTTGCGCTGGTGCTACCACGCTTTCAACCCTCACTCACATTTAGCCGATGTCAAGAAAAAATACAAGAAGACCTAGACATTCAACTGCTACTACCACTTAATAGCGATGTAAATGAATAATACTTCTGACACTATTACTGACGCTAATATTAGTCAGAGGGAATACCCGTTTAAGTCAACGTTGAGCTGCGATCCTCTCGATTTCAACTAGAAGAGTTATCGAGGCATGTTAAGCCTAAGATGGTTTCACTCTAACGACTGCGATCTTCCAGGCCCGGTTTCTCAGAAGATGAGACAAGTCTTGGGAAAGGCCAGAGTAGTAGGAACAATGTATTATGTACGCAAGAGTTAGGAGAACGTTTTCACTCGGTGTGACATGGCGTTCAACCGTGAGGGCCGTTTAAGAGCGCTGGGTCGTCAGAGTGGCCAACGACGCTGCCTGTGGCCGCAGCCAGACGGGCGGAATCCTGTGTGTCGTTTAGCCAGCAGCCACCGCCTTGAGGTCTTCTGTGAGTCGGCCTGTGATTGGTTGCATCGCGCGAGATTAAGCCATGTGTGAGCTGGGTGTGTCAGTAGTCGCTCAGCACACTGAGCAAGAAACGGACAGGGTGCAGGCAGTCGGGGTGACTGCGGCCTTGTGGCGAGTCTTAACAGAGGCGCTAACGTCCACTACAGAGTAAACCCGGATTCATGCTTTTCCGAGTAAATGGGTTTTGACGCCCGCAGCATATCAGGGTGTACAGTGACTCCCGCCCTCTCACGTCTATCTACCGAAACGTGTGTCATTTTTTACTAAGTTTGGACGACGAAGATTGCCGCTAGATAAAATATAACAATGCTAGGAGGGCTAATTTTAGCAATCATAGTTACGGAGTCCAGTAAATTGTATATTACAAGTGGGCCTGTA